CAATGCAAAAGCAGTACTAAGAGGAAATAATATAGTAATACAAGCCCATGTCAAGGACTAGAAAAAGAACCCCAAAATCCAAAAGCCCAGTGGATAGCAGGAAATTATAAAAGCTACAGATGAAATTAAAAAGATCAGTGAATGTCAGCAACACCACAGTGATAAAGAAGAAAAACAGGTGTCGTGGGGCAGGGTATAGGATGCAGGATGTTGCTCAGGAGCAAGATTCTGACTCTTTTATTGATAGAGAAAAGAGTAGGTCAAGCTGAATACTGAGTTTGGGCTTTAGGGACAGTGAGTCCACTGATAGCTGATATACGTCTAGTTCCCACCCATGGCTCAAATCTTATTAACAAGGCATTCCACTGCTGAGTCCCTGGGGCGGAAAGCACATCAGTCAACAAACTGGTCATATCTTAGGATGTATACTTGTCACCACCCCATGGAGATCAAGTATCCTGCTCTTGTCTAACTTGAAAGGAGCCTTGTACACTCCACCCACAAGGTAACCAAACATTGGTTCTTTGAAAAAAAACTTTACCTATGCTACAGACTTTACAGACTGACCCCCCCACAAAAAAATGCAGTACCTAGGAATAAACCTAATAGAGGACATGGGGGAAAATTATAGAACACTGTTAAAAGAAATAGAAAACTAAAAGAAATGGAAAGATATTTCCTACTTGTATTTAAGAAGAATCAACATTATCAAAATGACCATCCTCCCCAAAGAGATTTTCATAGTCACTGCAATCCCAATAAAAATCTAAGTGACATTCTTAAAGGAAATGGAACAAATACTACTGCAGTTGATGTGGAACCACAAAAGATCCCAAATAACCAAAGATCTCAACTAAAAAGGGAGAAAATGATAGTATTACATATCCAGGCATCAAACTGCTATAAAGCCATAATAATTAAAATAGCATGTTACCGGAACAAAAATAGACACTTAGATCAATAGAATAGCCCAAAATAAAAACTGCACATTTATAGATAACTAATCTACAACAGAGGAGCAAAGAATATACACAGGAACGACAAAAGCCTTTTCAGTAAATGATGTTGGGAAAACTGGACTGACACATGCAAAAGAATGAAACTAGACCACTATCTCACACTAAACAGAAATATCAACTCAAGATGGATAAAAGTCATGGATGTAAGACCTGAAACCATAAAGTGCAAAGAAGAAAACATAGGCAAAACACTTCATAATACAATTTTCAGAAACATTTTGTAGATTTGTCTCCAGCAGCAAGAAAAACAAAAGAGAATTTAAACAATGGTGACTATATTAAGCTAAAAATGTCTTTACAGCAAAAGAGATAGCAGGAACCAAAATGAAGAAACACATTACTAAATGGGAGAAAGTATTTAAATACCATACATCTAACAAGGGACTGTTATCAACAATCTACAAGGAATCATATGACTCAAAAAAAAAAAGTAACCTGATCAAAAATGGGCAGAACTAACAGGAGATCTTCAAAGACATGCAGATGACCATTATGCATATGAAAAATGTTTATTATCACATATCAGGGAAATACAAATCAAAACTATAGTGAGGTACTGCCTCACACCCACGAAAATGGCCCTATTAAAAGAAAAACAGAAACAAGTGTTGGTGAAACTGTGGGGGTGGGGGGGAACTCATATTGTTTGTGAGACTGTATTGGCCCAGCTCCTATGGAAAACAGTATGGAGCTTCCTCAAGCTCCTGCCACGCTAAATATATAGCCAGTCCTATGTAACCCAAGTATACCCAAGTCCTAAGTATACCCAAGTAACACAAAAACGCTAATTTGAAAGAAAACTTGTTCTGCTATACTTATTGCAGCACTACTTACAATAGCCAAGATATGGAGATAGTCTGAATGACCCAGAAGAGATGAGTAGATCAAGATGTGTGTACACACACACACAGTTGAATACTACTCATCTATCAAAAAAGGTAAATGTGTATTATTTATATCAACATGGATGGAGCTGGAAGGGATTATGCTAAGCAAAATAAGCCAGAAGAGAAAGGTACACATTGGTTCCACTTATGTATGGAAAATAGACCAACTAGGACCAGACAAAGCAAACTGAAACAATACCTTGCAAGCTGAGGTATCCAGGTGGGGCAGAGAAGAGAGGAAGGGGTGAAAATATGGGGAGGGGAGAGCACAATGGGTTATGGTGTAGGACTGTGGGTTCTTCTTAGTAGAAATAATCAAATGCCGGCCCTCCCTGGTAGCGCAGCGAGTTAAAGCACTGTACTAAGAAGCTAAAGCCAATTCCACATGACTTCGATCCCCGCCTGCCCTGGAGGTGAACCATATGGTATGGCAGACCTCTCCTGACCTGCCTGCTGCTCCCCTTAGCAGTGTACTTCGACGATCTGCCTCTTCTGCTCCCCACTCTGGCTCTGGTGAAGCCTTTCACCGCTCCTGCACCTCTGGCCTGTACCCCAGTTCTGTATGCATAAATAAATAAAAATCTTTAAAAAAAAAAAAAAGCTCAGAACACTCTAGGCATATTTAAAAAAAAAACAATCTTATGTTACATGAAATCCATAGCTGTGCTGTTAGGTTGCAAGCCCTCTTTAAACCAAATATT